TTCCAGAAGAATTGATGCTATTGAATTATCTTTTTGAGTGAAAAGTATCAAATATATGATGGACTACCAGTGTTCGACATAGAGAGAGCTATGCTGGCCTAGAGGACAAAAAGTTATGCCACCAAGCTAAAAGTGGGTGATTTTAATCTGCAGCCCTCAGGCCAGGTTCAAATTGTTTTCCTGTCAAACATTCTTCTAGGTGGTATAGCACTGGTCTGTGCATTGCTGTATAGAGGTAACTCGTGGTAGCTGTGATGCTGAACACTGTGACAGTGATGTGCCAATCGTGGTAATGGGTACCCATGGTGGACAGTGTTGGCTGGAGCTTTCCAACTAAAAAAAGCCTGGAAGCAGGAGCAGCATCCACTTTTGAAATGGCTTGCCTCCGGAAACTCTATGTACGAACAGTGCTCAGGCCTTTCATTCATATGGTCACACCTAACAACAACAACAACAACAACAACAACAACCAGTGTTTGGTGAAGCCCCCTGATTAAAGGAATCAAGCTTGGAAGCAGGAGTGGCATACACTCCATAATAGCTTGCCTCTGGAAACCCTATGAACCAGGAGAGAGGATGAAAGTTATACAGGAGGTGTCCAGGACTTTTGTTCATAGGGTTGCTATGTATGAGTCACCTGCGATTTGACGGCACTTAACAGCAACAACACATGCTGTGTTTGAGTTCATTGTTGCAGCCACTGGTAATTCATCTTATTGAGAATCTTGCTCTTTTTTCTGATTATTTTACCAAGCTTGATAATCTCCAAGGATTAAACTCTCTTGATAACACACAGTTGGTGTGCAAGTCTCCAAGGCTCAGTTCTTTTTTGTTAAGAGAGGACAGTAACTGCATCTCCTTTGTAAAGTTACTGCCAATGTGGCTTAAATGTAAAAGCATAAAGGTGAGTGAGCGGGAGATTATTTTGAGGATGGCACAACATAGGACAGGGTTCAAATCTGATGTTCATAGACTCGTTACAGATCGTAATCGAGTAAAAGGCACTAACATCACCACCAGCAGAATAAACACATCCTGTTAGTTAGACAAAAAGATGGCAAGACTTTTTCACATACTCTGGACATACCACAAAGAGAATTTAATCTTTGGAGACTATCATGCTCGGTAAAATACAGACAAGCAAGATTCTCAACAAGATGGATTACCACTGGTTTCAACAAAGGGTTCAAACACAGAAGGGACTGTGAGGACGGCGCAGGACCTGGCAGTGTTCTGTTCTATTTTACATCAATAGGGTCGCTTTGAGTGGGAGCCGAATGGCACCTGGAAACACAGAGAATCTGCCATGCGGCTTTAATACCAGCACTACTTTCTCAGCCTCCGGATTTCGGACTCTCCTAGAACATCCAGGGCTGCCTTTCACACCTTGGGACCTGCGTTGGCAAGCACTACAAGAAGGCAAGGGAAAAAGAAGCAGGGAACTCACCCTCCAGGATGGCGGGAATGCACCCGAGCTGCACGGGCGTAGGCTGCTTCAAACCCAGCTGTCGACATTGTTCCACGAGCCACGATGACAGCCCGAGTTCGGAGAAGGAGGCCATCCTCTCCACCACCTGGGAGAACCAAGTGTGCTGCGCTTCCGGTGCTTGCCGATGATGACATTACGGAAGCCTTTCCGTTCATTGGCCCTGCTCTGCAATTCCCGGCCTCCGTACATTCCCCCTAATGCTATTGGTTCGTAGGTTAGACTCAAACTACAACTCCCGAAATGCATTACGAGACACGCTTGTGTACCTCGCTCCCTGACCCCTAGCTTTTGTATACGAGCCTCCCATTGGCTTAGCTCCCTTCCACTGAGACCGCGTAAACTACATTTCCCAGTGTACTCCTTGGGAGGCCCCGTTTCCGGTCGACGTGTATCACCGCCTTAGCCCGCCCCCTCGAAAAAGAAGTGGTAAAGACCACAGTATCATGGCTCCTCCAGCCCCCGGCCCGGCCACCGGCGGCTCTGGGGAGGTGGACGAGCTGTTTGACGTGAAGAATGCCTTCTACATTGGCAGTTACCAGCAGTGCATCAACGAGGCGCAGCGAGTGAAGGTGCGGCTGCGCCGGGGCGGGAGGACTCTGGGGACGAAGGGTACGGGCGCTTCCTGGTGTCCGCGCTCAGCTTTTAATTATTTCCCCCATTTTTCGCAGTGTATTCTCTCTACCCACCTTTTAAGAGCGCAGCGAGAAGTTAATGCATCTTGTACCAAATTTCAGAGCTGTAGCAATTTTTTTTAGACCACTCTGCGCCCCGAAAGACATTCGAGTGAGGGAAATGCTTATTTCACTTTAATAATAAGTCTCACTCGTCGCGTGCACGCTGTGCCTCTCGTACTCGCAGTACTTGGGAGGGAGAGACGTCTGTAGCCTCATTTTACAAACAAGCATCTCGAGGTTTGGAAAGAGGGTGAATCTCCCAGTGTCTTAATCTTCATGCTAGCTTGATTCTCTCCGCCAGAGCTTGCCCATCTATTAATAAAATACTCGTTGAGAATCCGAACAGGGCAAAGAATGTGTTCTTGCTGGACTCTGAGCAGTAACCCAAATAGACATAACAGCAATAACCCAGGCTTGTAAAACTCACGCTAGCGGAAGAGAGAGAAAACAAGAACAGAAACAAGAAATTAAGACTTGAAAAAAGTGTTGTGAAGGTGAGTGACGTTCTAAGTGCCATCAGGTCGCTCTGAACCCTGCTCTGCCTTAAGTGATAGGAATTTTTATTCTTATTAGGTGTCCCACTCTCCACATATATTTAAGTCATTGTTGGGATCACCGCATTTTGCCACTGTATTAGATACAAAACCAATACTTGGACCAGGAGAGTCATCAGAACAGAGCAGGGAAACACTGCGTGGTTCAAAATTGGGAAAGGTGTACACCAGGGATGTGTCCTATCGCCATACCTTTTCAATCTATATGTAGAACAGATCATCTGGGAGGCTGGGCTATAGAGGAGGAATGTGGCATCAAGATTGAAGGAAGACTCATCAACAACCTGTGTTATGCAGAAGACACAATTCTGGTTGCTGGAACTGAGGAGGACCTGAAGCTATTTCTGCAGAAGGTGAATTGAAGCTCCACATCAAGAAAACAAAGATTCTCACCACTGGGCGGATTGGCAGCATCATGATGGACTGTTAAGAGATTGAGATTGTTAACACCTTTAGTTTGCTTGGTGCTACAATCAATACTCTTGGCATCAGCAGCCAGGAAATCAGAAGACAAATAGTACTGGGAAAGTCTGCTATCAGGGACCTCTCCTGTGTACTGAAGAACAGTGATGTCAGTCGTTGGAGACCAAGGTGTGCCTGATCCAGACCATGGCCTTTGTAATTGCTATGCGTCAGAAAGCTGGACAATAACTAGGGATGATATAAGGAGAATTGATGATTTTGAGTTGTGCCGGGGAAGAGTATTGAGTTTACCATGGACTGCTAAGAGAGCAAACAGATTCATCCTAGAGAGGGTGAAACCAGGCTGCTCCTTGGAGGGAAGGATTCTGAAACTGTCTCACATACTTTGGGCATGTTGGAAGGATAGACCAGTCCTTTGAGAGGAACATCATGCTTGGGAAATTGCTGGAACAGTGCAAGAGAGGAAGACCCTTGGTGATTGACTCAGTGACTGGGGTAATGGGGGTAGGTGTGTCAGGGATGATAAGGTTGGCAGGGTTCAGAGCTATTGTACAAAGGGGTCGCTATGAGTTGCTTACTTGATGGCACATAACAACATTGAATTAATTGCTGATTTTTTTAATGTAAATTAATTACCAGGTCTACTCTTTCTGATCGCCTTTAGTTTGTAAGCTCTTCTGAAACTTGTCCCTTCCTGCTGGTATTTGTTTTTTCTTTGTTGTTTTTTTTTTCCCTGCTGGTATTTGAAATACTGTTGGCACAGCTCCCAGCGTCCCAACAACACACAAGGACCCCAGCACAGCACACTGACAAATGGGAAATGATCTGTTAAAGGGCTAGAAAAGAATTCAGTGTGGTGAGGCCCATTGAGTGAAAAGGTTGACAAGAGGGGCTGGCAGAGTTTGCTGTCATTTTCAAAGTTGCGCCTTCAAAGCCGAGCAAACATGGTGCAGCTCTCTGCCCACCTTCACAGCCTCATATCTCTGAGACAATAAACAAATGCAGGAGGATTGAACATGTAATTCCAGCTTGGGAGAAGTGCCTCCTGTGTCCCCATTTCCCTTGTGTATGGTACTGTGTCCTGGCCCTCTTGGATCCAAGGCTGACCCTTAAGAGAGTTCTCACCTTGGGAAGAAGCACAAAAATGGGTTCTGAACTTTGAAGACAGAAAATGAGAAGGTACCAAGGCAGTCCTAGTGGGAGCTGGAATGGTGGTGGTAACAGACGGATGAGGCTACCGTAGGGTGAGGAGGCTGCGGTAGGGTGATGAGGTCAGGGTGTGACCCTTAAGGTGGTAGCTGGTGGGGGATGGGGTAAGCCCCTCTGCTCCTTCCCTGCTGCATCTCACTGAGGTGTTTACTGCACCTGTAGACTCCGTGAAATAGGCCCTTTTCACGCCTGGGGGTGCTGGGAAGGTGATTTCACCTATGAAGGGTTATGAAATGCATGTTTTTCCCCTGCTCGGTGCCATGGGACAGTGGTGGGCCCCAGTGGAGGCCTTTGAGCACACGGAGTCTGATGGCAGCCTGTCCCAGTAGAGGGCGCCAGGGCCTCCTCCTTCAGGGGAGCATGCTTGACAGCGTACAGCAGAGGGCGCCAGCGAGCACGTGGCAGGCTGTCCCCGTAGAGGGTGCGCGGGAGCACGTGTTAAAAGCCCTTCTTGTAAAACTGGATGAAATACGTTTACAGCATTGAAGTCTATGGGGGAGAGAATAGTCTAAAAGTATTATATTTTAGGGCATTATTTTTTCTCGTAGGAGTACGCAATGAGGGTTGCAGAGTGGATTATATTTGGGGGCGGGGCTGGGATTTGGGGAGGGGGGGATTGTGTACCAATGAGGGAGTTTTTCTTTTGCTTTTCAAGGAGAGGAGCAAAGGGGGGGGGGGGGGGGGGGGATGTGCGGGGAGAAGGGTGCAACAATGAATGAATGGAATTCCAAAATCTCTGTAGATGTTCATTGAAATGAAAAATAAACTAAAAAAAAAAAAGCACTTCTAGTATTTAGGCATCTGGTGTCTGTGCCCTCAAGGGCTTGTTGGCAAGTCCAGCCCTTCCTTTTGAGCCTCCTTCTCTTACTCAGCAGCCTTCTCTAACAGTGCCGGGTACCCTGTTTATACCTAGAATAGCTGAAGTTAGTGGGGCCCCCAGGAGCTTAGGCCCAGTACCCCTGCAGCATTTTACGTCCTGGACACCCAGAGCTGGTGCGTGTGTCTGAAGAGACCAGACAGCTGTCCTGTCGGACATCTCCCCCTGAGGATCTTTTGAGTCACTTGTTTGAAAGGCTGCATTTCATGTCACGACTGGGTCACTCGCCTGGCCATCAACCCTGGCCATAGAGCAGATGGGCCCCTTGGCAGTGAGGGTGGTCACCACATGTGCCTTCACACCCCTCCTCTGTAGCCCGAGAGATGTAGTGGTGTGGGATCTAGGGACGAGGTGGTCCTGATTTGCCCAAAAGTTTGGCTGTGATCCTGTGAGTCCCTGTGCTTTCTTGGGGCTCTATAACTTGAGGTGTTAACTGGTGACCCTGGGGTCGACAGATCTCCATTCTGTCACCTGGCTCCCCTAGTGGCCCTGTTCCAGCTCCCAGGTGTTTTGGCAAATCTCTAAAGACAGGTGCTGCTTCCTCCTGCAGGATGTCCTGTGTGGTCACCACCCACTACCCTGGGCTTTGAGCAGGGGCCATGCTTGTGTGGCATGACTTGGCAGATCCACTCCCAGGACTGAGTGATCTCCGTACCACAGTCTCACAGTGGAGGTGGCTGGGCTGAGCTGACCTGTCCAGGACAGATTGTTTCCTGTGGGTGGGGACCTCTGAGCCCACAAAACTCCTTCATCTTAGTGAGAGACTTATTTTTTCACCAAGGAAGTTAAAACAAAATCAAGTTAGAAACAGACCAGTTGTCATAATTAATTCTAAACCGTGTGGGGGGTTGTTAACAAAGAGTGGAAGTCCCCCTCGTGTTTCTGCCTGCACTGCCCATCCTTCAGAGGCACCCCGGCCTCTGTGCTCAAGCAGCTTCTGTCTGCATTTATCTGGACTTTCTTTCAGTTTGAGTTTGAGTTGGAGCTAGATGTTGGCAGTGCAGGTTCCATGGTGGGGGTGTGGGCCCAACCTTGGCACCATGTGACTGTCATGAACATTGTGCTTCTTGAAGCCCAGTCCTCGCCTATCGGGACAGAGTGGCAACTGTGCCCTCTCCTGGGCATGTTAGGAGAGAGCTCTGTCCAGTGTCTGGCCCCCTTGAGGTCATTCTTGTGCTGTGCAAGGTCATGGCCCTGAAAAGCTAGGGCCTCCCGTGAAGCCTACGTGCTGTCCCTGTGAGCTGTGCAGGTGTGCTGGGTCAACACAGCCTGATCCATGTCTGTCCCCACAGCCTTCGAGTCCAGAGAGGGACGTGGAGCGAGACGTCTTCCTATACCGAGCATACCTCGCACAGGTGAGCGCGTTGTGATTGGTGCCTGTGTGCGACTCCCGGAGCTGGTGTCCCATCCAGTAAATTGCAGAGGACCCCAGCACCCCCCCCCAAGCCTGTTCATGTTGTCATCTCTGCAGCTCCCCTTTAACCCTGACCCATCTCCACTGAGGCACTGGCTCCTGTCCCTCCCTCTGCACCCGGGGGGCTCCCCCAAGTCTTCTGACCGTACCGTGCCACGGGCTGAGCACCACCTCCTGGGGGTACAACTGGGGTGTGTTCAGACCGGGCGGTGAGCCACAGTGTGTATGTGATCAGGACCACTTTCCTGCTGGTGGCTCTGCCCGAAACCCCGTTCTGCCCCCTGGCACCTCCCTCAGACCACACACTCCTCACTGCAAGTGTGCAGCCCTTGGACATGTGACCTTCCCTGGGCTGCTCAGAGAAGGTGCGTGTGTTGGCTTCTTTGACCATCCCTGTGTGCACAGGGCGGGGCGGGGGGGTGTGTATGCGTGCGTGCTGTTGGACCCATACTTGGGTCTAGGAAACCAGAGCACATCCACCCGAACCGCCTAGAAAGGGAAGTGGGCCTCAGGCTCCCAGTCGCCTCGAAGTGACAGCAGCACCAGTCGGATGTCAGCAGAGTAGTCCTTTGGGGAAAGGAGGCTGTTCTGCCTTTTAAAGCAGGTTCCCAAGATGCTCATTTCTGGTGGACCACCCCCCACCCCTGTTACCCACTGTGTAAGTTGAGACGAAGGAGTTACACCTGGAATTTTCCAGCTTTGTGGCTCCTTGAGTGGGGAGAAGGGGCTCCACTTCCCACTGGCTTCCTCAGTGGCCCTCAGGGTCACAGTCAGGCTCCACCAGGTGACACAGGACTGCTTGTATAGGTGGCACTGAGTTTGAGGCGGTTGAGATGCCTGTGATTTGGGGTTGGGGACATGTGACAGGGCAGTGCTGATGCCTTGTGTGCCTGTCCACAGAGGAAGTATGGTGTGGTGCTGGATGAAATCAAGCCCTCCTCTGTCCCTGAGCTGCAGGCTGTGCGCATGCTTGCCGAGTACCTTGCCAGTGAGAGCCAGAGGTGAGGTGCCACCACGGTGCCGCGTGGGGAGTGAGATGTGCATGAGGGGATTCTGCCAGGAGGACTTGGCCAGGCCATTCTGCTCAAAGCCAGTGTCGTTCCTGGCTTCTACTCGACTTTGCTGTACCTTCACCCTCCAGGGAATGGGGGTGTACCTCATCCCAGTCTATCCCAGAATGCACCACTGGCCCTCCCCCACCCCAGGAGTCTCCCACTTGGCTTGGAATTAAGAGGTTCACATCCTGCCTGTGCTCCCTGCTCTGGTCAGCCCTCAGGCTGCTGCCCCCACCATCTGCCAGCTTAGCACTGCCTTGTAGGGACGCTGTGGTGGCACACCTGGACCGGGAGATGAGTCGCAACGTGGACGTGACCAACACCACCTTCCTGTTGATGGCCGCCTCCATCTACCTGCACGACGGGAACCCGGATGCCGCGCTGAGGGCCCTGCACCAGGGTGACAGCCTCGAGTGGTGAGTGCCGCCGATGGCCGTTACGTCCCCTTCATCCACAGTTCCAATGGCATGTACGTTTCAGGGGTGTCCAGTGTGTCCCAAGTTGGGCAGCCCCACTCTGACACTTGGTGGGATTGAGTGGTTATAGGAGCTGGCCAGCACCCCCCAGGGCCAGACTGGGCAGGTCCCTCACTGTGGGGTCCTTGTGGTACTGGTGTGGCTGCCATGTGGCCTGGGGCCTCTTAACCACGGCAGACTCATGTCCCTTTGTGGTGAGAACAAGGAGGTTAGTCAGTACTGAGTCTGCCTTCGGGCCTCTGAGCAGCTCTCTAAGCCCCAGTGATTTCAGTAGTGAGATGAGGACTAGAAATGAAGTGGGGGAACAGCCAGTGGGGCCTGTGAGCTCTTAACCCCCTCAGTGCTGCTGGGGCAGCGGAGGGTGAAGAGGGTGTTGAAGTGTTCTGAGTGCGTGGGGGTTGGGGAGTGTTCTGTGCCTCCGCAACTTCCTCTGACCCCCGCCCGCCCCCCAGCTCGGCCATGGTAGTGCAGATCTTGCTGAAGCTGGACCGCCTGGACCTTGCCCGGTAAGCCTTCCTGTCCCCTTGGTTCTGGGGGGCCCACCTGGTGGGGTGCCACATCCCTGTGCCTAGTTTCTCAGGGTTGGGGTGATGCTTCCTTCACGTGGCCTTCCTGTGGAGCACGACTGGGGATCAGGCAGCACCCAGGACTGGCTTCTGAAACGCCGTGGTCAGGACCTGGGCTGGTGAGGCAGGGTCTGGTGAGCTGCAGCAGTGCCTGGAAGCGTGTCAGGGCCCAGCTGTCCGCTCAGAAAGCCCCCGTCAGGAGGTCTCCACAGTGGGGACTACACGCATGAAGACACCCAGAGTTGCAATAACACCTTTGTTGCCCTCCACCCAGGAAGGAGCTGAAGAAGATGCAGGACCAGGACGAGGATGCCACCCTCACCCAGCTGGCCACTGCCTGGGTCAATCTGGCTGTGGTGAGGCCTCGCTATGGGCGGAGGGCATTGCGTTGGCCTGCAACTCTGTGGGCAACCCCCAACTTGTTCCTCCACCATCCATGTCTTTCCATACAGTTTCCTCATCTGTATCTGTCTCTCAGCCCATCCCCTGCCTGTCTCCTGAATTGTTCCTCTGCCTGTCCCCTGACTAGATTCCCTACCTGTCCCAGACAGACCATCCCTTGTCTAGCTTCTTGGGGACTCTAGAGGGACTGAGGGGGGTGGGATGATGTCCAGGTAGGTGGAATGATCTCTGGGCAGCTTGGTTGCAAATCCTCTCACAGGAGGGTGACTGACATGGTGGCCCTGTGCTCACAGGGTGGTGACAAGCTGCAGGACGCATACTACGCCTTCCAGGAGCTGGCCGACAAGTGCTCGTCCACCCTGCTGCTGCTCAACGGCCAGGCCGCCTGCCACATGGCTCAGGGCCGCTGGGAAGACGCTGAGGGCGCGCTGCAGGAGGCACTCGATAAGGTAGCTGGTCCCCGACTGCCCACCATGGTGGCAGCAGCCCTCCACTGCAGCCTGCGCCTGGTGGGCCTCGGAGTGGGGACGGGCCACCACACGGGCACAGGGTCAGGGAGACACAGCTAATGGGAGCAAAAATGGTGTGTCCCCACAGTGACCACAGGCACATGGTGCGCTGACTGTGCTGGCCCAGGGCTCAGTTGTTCGGTGCCCACAGGGTGGCGGTGTCCCTGCCTGTAGGTGGATTCACGGTGGCAGACTTGCTGCCAGTGTGGAGAAATTATTAGTGTTATTTAAAACCTTGAAACCTTGGCCTGACTTGTTTTGGAGAGTGGAACCTCGGGCAGGCGAGGCCTTCATGGCCTAAACCAAGTGGAGATCGCCTGGCCCTCTGAACCCCCATTCTGGCCTCATGCCAGCCTCCTCACCATCCTTTAGCCGCTCGGCTCCTGGCTCTGAGATTGGTTCTGGAAAGAGCCTGCTGGTCACAGGGGACCAGGATTCCTCAGACGTGGTGGGATGCTGCATGCACCCCCGCCCTACTGCAGTGTCTGTCGAGCTGGTGCATGTCTACACTTGGGAGAAACACCTGAGCTCAGTCCGTCTCGGAGCACTTTCTGAATGACACACCAATGCCGTGCGGGGCGTTTCTCCCACTGGGCCCACAGTCAGCTGCGTCGTTTCTCTGGGATTTGCCAAGATGGCCCTGGAGCTTGCCAAGGGGTGGGGTCAGCTGCCCTTGTGGCCGGGGTCCCATTCCCATAGAGCTGCCTCATCACAGAGGCCTTCTGTGGGTGGTCCTTGCACCCTGTCAAGCGGGTCCCCAGGCTCCAGCCCTTCTAGAGGTGAGCGGGTGAGGTCATCACTGCAGATTCTGGTCGTTTTCATGCGCTCTCTGCCAAGGCCGCTTTGAATCTGTGTGATAGAGCAGTCCTCTCCCAGGCTTGTCCTCATCTTTTATCAGGAGTCCTGAAGCTGTTTTTTCTGCCTTGTTTGTGGTGGGGAAACAAGTTTAGGGGGAAGTTGGGGGTATAGGAGTGGGGTGTGCTGTATTCTGAGTCTCACGTCCCTGACCTACAGGACAGTGGCCACCCAGAGACACTGATCAACCTCATTGTCCTGTCACAGCACCTGGGCAAGCCCCCTGAGGTAAGCCGCCTTCCCAGGGCAGAGTGCAGCAGGTCAGAGTTGGAGCAAAAATCCCCTCCCTCTGGAAGTTTCCGTCAGCCTTGGGGATGCCCAGGGGCAAACTGGATGTCTAGTCAGTTGTGACCAGCTGGCCAAGGGGTCAGTGTCCATCCCTGGAGACCTTACCCCTGGAATAGCAGTGACCCCTGGTCTGGGGTAACCAGACAAGATGTTCCATCTCCTGGCCTTCAGGGTGGGGGTAGGGCCCAGAGGCTGGACTGCTGAGGCCCACATACTTGAACCTCGTCCCCGGGGTGTCTCCCCTCCCCACACCATCTTCTCCCTCCCTTGTCTCCATCTCTCCCTGTGACTTAAGTCCTAGTTCACGTCCCTTTCCCCCGAGTCTCAGGCAAGAACTGAGTCCCTGGCTTTAGATGACAGAGACCCCAACTCCCTGGTGACTTAAAACTGGTCACTTCCACCCTGAGGAGCCCCTAGGACCATGGAGGGTAAATGAGAAAGAATTTTGTTAACCTGACCTCCCTCCACTGCAGGTGACCAACCGCTACCTGTCACAGCTGAAGGATTCCCACAGGTCCCATCCATTCATAAAGGAGTACCAGGCCAAGGTGAGCGTCAAGTCTCACACCCCAGTCCCTAGACCTGGCTGGTCCACAGGCCTTCTCCCCACCTCCAGCATCAGACCTGCTCCTGAGCCCCCGCCCCACCTCTGTCTTTGAAGGAGAATGACTTTGACCGGCTGGTCCTGCAGTACGCTCCCAGCGCATGAGGCTGACCTAACCCCGACCACATCCATGCCTCCATCCCACCAGCACCCACCACTTCTCGGCCAGACCCTGGAAGCCTGGTGCCAGCACCCCCGTCTCCCACCAATAAAAAGGGGCACCACCCAACTCAAAATGTGTCTGCTTGTTTTTGTGGAGGGTACACAGGGCAGTGCCCACAGAGGTTACCCAGTGCTGTGGTGCTGGGAAAGGCGTGCATCACCAACAGAGAATGCAAGGGTCTGAGAACCATACCTGTATATCTCAGATTCCTACTTCCCCATCCTGCAAACTGTCCCCTGCTGCAGAGAACAGGCACCCCAGCTCCCAGTGTTACCCTCCACCTCAATCTCCAGGGATGTTGAACAGGGAAACAGGCATAGAGAGATCACTTCAAAGATGCCAGGGTTCAAGTCCTGAGGTGGTTCAGAAATGGCCAGCAATGCCAAGAAATTTTCGGGCTCCTCCAGAACGCTGGGGCTGCAGTCTGTTCTGGGTGTAAGTGTTCCCTCATCCTCAGCTCTTTCCTACGGCCGCTCTAGTGATCAGGCCCTGGATCTGAGACGAGCTGAGAGCACGAAAGCTGACAAGGATGAAGAAGCCCAACAACAGAGCCAGGAGAAAGGGGGGCAGCTTATTAGGGCAGAGGAGGGGAGCTGTGGGGCCCAACCTGGAACAGTCTGCTTAGCCCCTGATAAGTTACAACTGGCCAAGGTGCAGGGTGGGGGTTCACTTGGGCATTTGGAGCAACAGGTGCAGCTTGTGCAAAGGCCCTGGGGCTGCTCTAGTTTTTTTAAGTGCACTGACTAGACTGCCCTTTGCCCAAGACTGTTGCGTAGGCAGGGTCTGGTGGAGATAAGAATCCTGGGTTTCCAGTGCCTTGCCTCACCCTGGTCTTCATGTAGCGGCAGCCTTTGAAACTGCCCATCCCTGGTTACCAGGCCAGGATGTAAAGCAGCTGCTCCCTACCACCCCTAGATCTATGTGGGAACCCTCCCTGGGCAGAGAGCACTAGGAGGTCTGAGTGGAGTTGCCCCTGCCTCAGAGGGGCTGGAGGCATGGCCTTCCAAGTCGCCAGTGGGGACTCTTTCCAAGTCCACTGCATGCCTGTTAGGGAAACCTGAGGCTGGTGGGTGGGGCATCCTCTCCCATTACCTGATGGCAACCATGGTGACCAGATAGTGTTGAGTAGGGTGGGTGGTTGGAGGATCTGGGAGTGCTCTCACAGGCCAAGCAAGGTGCAGGGGCTCTTCCCCTCCCCTGGCAGGCGAGGTCATGCAGGAGTCATGCCTGTGGCCTCAAGCCAGGCATTCGACCTTGACCAGTCAGGCTGAGGCCCATCCTGACAATGCAGTTGTGAAGTTAGGTGGCATCCTTGATGTGTAGTCCAGGGAGGTGACCTCTGCTCCTAGACATGAGGGAGGTGGGGAGGAAGCCAGGGCTTCATGAGGAAAATCTGGGCAGAGACCGCTACCACTCAGAACCTCAGGTGGGATGAGGCTGGTCTGTGGGGAACTTGCCCACCCTATCCGCTACCTGGGGAGTGGGAACAGTGAGGGAAGAGAGGGCTGGTCATGGTGGGTAGCCCAAGCGACTCTTAACTCCTGTCTAAATGCCACTGAGGCGGAGAGACTGGATGGGATGCCCAGCACTTAGGATGGTGGGAAGTACTAGAGGCCCAGGGGAATTGGAAGGGAACCAGTGCCTGGCCAGTCGGCTTCCCCAGCAAAGTGGGGGGTCTGAACTCAGCAGAAAGTCACCAGGTGAGTCAGATGACGCCACCTGGTCTCGGTGTGCCCAACCACCGGTCGTGCGCCCCCTCTAAGGATTCTATAGTCTCCCACATGCACAGTTCCACCTCCTCTTTGGCCTTCAGCCACAGACTTCAAGGAGCAGACCTGTGGGACACAGAGTTCCCAGTCTCGCCGAGGGCGCGTGGACAAGGAGTGAGGGGAGTTCGGTGTATGCATTTCGCTGGCACCTCCGGTGGGCGGTGCTCATTCTAAAAGAACACAGGTCTTGATTCGCTTCGGCCTCCTGCACGAACAGGTGTGCCGGACCCAGGGCTGTGATGCGAAGGCCTCCGAAGCTCCCCAGAGCTGTGAGCCTCAGTTTCCTTCCTGCAAAGTGGGCCTGAGCGCGACCCTGCCTCCAGATCACGACCACACCGGACCTCATCTGCCCACCCGCCTTACCCTGCCTCCAGCGCCGGCGGAGGTGGGAGACGAGGCGCCCCACTCGGCGGTCCCCGCACCGCCCCGGGGGCGGAGCCCACGTCGGCCCCGCCCCCTCGGCGCGTCCG